GCGGCGGCCCGCTTCAACGGAAACGTGTTAATGCCACCGAAAATGTCTTTCATTGGGGACATTTCATTTGGAAACTCGAAACCCTGTTCCACCAATGGCACCGGCGTTCGGAGGCGCATCAAATCGATTTACTGCATATTACAAAACATACAAATGTTTGAATTAACTTGAAAAATACGGTGGTACGGACCATTTAATTCGAAAATGGCACCGCTTTTATAGTCTAAGAGAATAATACTTGATTTGAAGGAGTAGATGAACAGAATAACATAGCAAAATGTAGTAACATATTTATAATACATTAACGAACGTATAGAAAATAAAAATACAAAGACAGCTTGTATTTTAGAAACGACTGCATAATGAGACACCTTAACCCTTGCGGACTAAATCGCAAACAAATGATTTAATTACTTGAACAGCAAGAGATCAGCGCGTAGTTTTCATTTTTCTCTAATTGCTGAAGCAGCTGATATAATTTAGCTTCATCGGCTGAAGGTTTAGTATATTTCAAAGGTTCTTCTTCCGCAATGAGTTAACATTAAAACGATTGAACGTTCTCTAATAAACTTACATTTTGATTCTACATTGAATTGTTCGCTCTCAAGCTAAGCTTCGGATGATTCAAATTCTCTGTCATAATTTCCCGTAATTAGAGCGCCGGTCGCAGTCGCCGAAACTGGTTCCGTTTCCCCGGTGCCTCAGGAGTTCGCCCGAAAACAGCTTCCGCGACCTGTAACCTCTCCATTTATCCCCTCCGTTTCCCATCCGAGTTTCAATTTACCGGATCTACCAGGAGTCTCCGATTTCAGGTGTGTTTTTTCCTTGTTGTCGGCCCGCGACAGCATTTCCCCGAGAAATCGAATCGAGTCACGCGGAGAAAAATGGCTCCCGCGGCGAGCAAAGAAACCCACACTCTTTCAGCGAACGCAGACTGCGCCGGGGAGGCTTCCCGATCCTCCAGGAATTTAGTTTCCTCGGAATGGAGCTTCCACCGAGAAAGAATCCGCGCGTATTTGCCGGGGAATCCGACCTCGGCCTTCACGCAAAACGTCTTCGATGTATCATGTCGCTCGGTAATTCCTCGTGACATCGATCCGGTGTCCCTTAAACATTTATAGTCCTCTGAAGAGGTACCAAGACGCCTCCGTGTACCCTTAATTTTTAATTTTCCAATTTGACAGTTGATACTCGGAAAGTTAGAGATGAAAAGGGAATTTCCATCGAGAATAGAGATCGAGTAATTTGAAATAATTCATCTGTTCGATTTTATCTCGGAATTCAATAGGAATCACGTTTTAATCATTTACATGGAATCGAGAGTTTGTTAAATATTGTAATGTATTTTTCACTTTTTCGAGGAAAAATGATTTTATTTCATTACGGTGTTATATTAATAAAATAATTTGGAATATTCTGTTATCAGTTTCCGAGAGAACCGGCGGAATATAAATTCGGGGACGCGGCCGACAACGCGTCTCCGGGAATTTAAATATAAAACGAGAAAAATTTAATGACTGCCAATTTGGATGACAATCTATTCGATTTACATTGGCGAATGTTAAAATTGACGGACGCGTTCGTCGCGGGCGTGGCGCGCCGAGCCTCGCTTTCAATTGGCCGGCCCGGAAAGTCCGAGACAAACGAAATTCGGTTTAATTAATGCGAATTAACGTGTCCGGCATACAACATCGGAATAGTTTTCGGATAATTAATCCGAACTAGCCAACGGAAAATGGCTAACAATTTTATGGCGGACTCGCGGCCGTTTTAACGGTCGAGTTGCATTCGATTAAAGTTTATGCACATTGTCACACGTTTGCGTAATGGGTTACAGATTAGCTGAACTAGAAACCGAGAAGTGCAACCTAACAAAATTATGCGATGCGAACGGTAACATTGTTACTCCGCGAAATTCCCGTGAATTCCCAAAAAGGGTAGTATAATGGCTATTTTATTTTTCATCATTTCTGTAACATTCATTCACAACTACTTTAAATTTCAATAAAATCTCCCTGTATTTATCATATGATACCACGATAAATTACAAAAATAAAAACTTATCAAATCCCTTTTTTAATTAGCGCATAACTCATTAAAAAAATCATACATCAACTTCCCAGAATAAAAGAAACCATGTATAAATCCTGATTCACGTAAATTTCATAATTTTTCATTTACGTCGACGGCGAGCGGAACGTCGAACTGCGAAACGCGCCGATGGAGCTTGTTCTACCATCTTGAAAACAGTCCTCCGTTAAAGCGATGCGCGTCGCGGCGCCGCTCGGGCTCGTTCGCGCGGCATCCACGGCTTAAGCGGAAGTAATAATTGAATCAACTTCGCGTACGATGAAAACGTCAGCGTAGACGTCGGAATTAATCTGGTCCGCCGTGTATTTGCGCGCTTTAATTCAGAAATTAACGCCGGCCCGCACACGCCCCGGCGACTTCGCGCGTCGCGAGCGCGCGGATAATGTTAATTAGCGTTACCGGGGGTATCGATGATCGTTAACGAGCTAGGAAAAGGCAGGGACGCGCACTTTCGCGGCTGCAAATCCGACGGAAATCCGTTTCACGTGTAATTTCAGGGTTTCAGATATCGACGAGTGCCATTAATCCGTCACGTTCCGTTTCAAACCTGGAACCCGGCGTTCGCGTTGTTCTTTTCATCTGATAATTAATCTTCTTTAATTACGATGCTCCCCTTAACACTCCGATTTTGAAGTAAATGAATAGTATCGTGAACAAAGTTTATCGTATATACAATTCCAATCTGAATCGTACCAAGTATACTCTGTAATCAATTTTCTAGACACTTAGAACTACCGTGTTTTCTATGATTAACCCGTTGCTCTAGAATATCGTGAGATTCGTGGTGAACATTATAAAAATAATTGAGCAAACATCAATATTACTCAACTCCTTTGAATTCGAATGAAATATTCTTTGGTTACCAATTATTAGATTGTAGGGCAAACTAGACAGAATATACATCGAGATTTTCTCTTTTTCCACTAAGTTATTACTGAGAAAGTTGTATCACAGTTGAAAAGTAAATCATAGGACAAGGGGTTAAACGAGTATTCGGGAGTGTAACAAATTTCCTCTGCAGCCTATTTAACCCTTTGCACTCGAAAGTTTTTCACCTGAAATATTCTGTACCTTCTAATTAAATGTGGACAAGATTCTTCAAAATGAATTTATCAAGAAATCACACATAAATTAGGGAACAAAGCTATTTTCCTTCGATATTTCACGTATTGATGCAGCATACAAAGGTTAATGGTAAATACCAAATTTTCTGATTTTCAAGAAATAAAATTTTACTTTATCCAAATTTATTCATCGCATATGTTATTTGTTTCATATCTAATATCAAAATTAATTAATTTAATTTAATTAATATTCCTTTAATATCCCAACGCATCGTTAATATTTCATTACATTCATTATTATTATCATTAATATTATTATTAATATCTATCCACGATCTTCAATTACAAAACAAGCAATAACACGCGAGTACATCAAACGATGCTCTCCAATCAGTCATATCCGTCATAATTGATACGATGCTCCTAGAATACTCCCACGAGACAAAGAAAAATTGATTTCAGGCCAGAAAGGATAAAGGATTGTTGCTTGTTTGTTTCATAAACAATAACCCCGGGCTCGCGGACTCCCATTTCCAATCTCGAAACTGATACACACAGTCTACAATCTCTGTATAGCGTCTGCATACCGTACGGGTTTTCTATACCGTCAGAATCTGTTCAACGTCAACGTGTTGACGTTCATGAAAATCCTTTACGTTTGTTCCCCGGCTATCCGTCGTCCTTTCCTGCGCGCTGGCGCTTGAACACGATCGACAATACGCGCCCGGGAGAAAACGAGCCCAAGCGAAACGTGTTCGCGACAGACAATAAGTGCATCTCGGCCGTCTGGATACAATGCGATCGAGCTGATCCCATTGCTTTCAACTCGATACCCTTTTCCTATTCCGATATATCGAATTCTGGCCGCCTCGCCCGTGCCGTTTGCACGGCCAGATAGTTAACTTCTCCCTCTGACCCTGCCGCGCTTTTGTTGACCTACTACCTGCCGCTTTTCATCGCGTCCCTTCTTTCTGTCCCTTTCCCAACCCTTCGTTCGCCAGCTCTTTCCATCCTTCTTCTCGATCTCCTCGCGATACGACTTTTAACACTTAACCATTGGTCGTTTTTCGGTAGTAACTTTATAACGCAATAGTACTGGGTAAATTTGAAGGTGATGTTCATGGGGATTTTAGTATGATATAGGAAAATTATGTTATGATAGGTATGTTCAACCTTTGCACTCGGAAGTTTTTCACTAGAAATATTTTAACTTTCTGATGAGAGAGACGATATTTTGTGAAACTGACTTGGAGAGGAATCACACGTACATTGAGGAACAAAGCTGTTTTATTTCAATATTTCTCAAATTGATGCATTGTACGAAGTATAATTTAATTAAATATCTAATTTTATAGTTTTGTATGAAATCAAATGGTGAGTGAGAGTCACCTCTCGAGTGCAAAGAGTTAATAAATTGAAATGAAAGGAAGTTTCGGAGAATTTTGAAGAATTTTCTTTAGAATTCTTGCTTGATTTTGTTTCGTTCAATCGGGGTAAGCGTATTTTTATTATTATTCTAACATGCAATTCAGTTATTTACAAGTAGGAGCTTACTGCTGAGTAAAATGTAAAAACTCGTTTGAAGAGGGAGCACGTATTAGAAGTTTGTCTGGAATATTTGGAAATTTACATAGCGGAAGGTTTCAAAGTGGAAATTGCTGGCGGGGGAGGGGTTAAATAAAAATTTCACATTAAAACGACGAGCGATTCGTCAGTTTAAACTGTCGGATTATTTGAAAAACGCGTTTTGCCTTCGCCGCGCGAGGCACGCCCCCCTAATTCCGTTCAGCAGAGGAGCATGGGTAAAATCTGTACTGGCAACCGGCGAATTATTTTCTGTTACAGTGGTCAAAGGTGCAGCTGGCGAAATTCTCGATTCTGGAGCACCAAATGGATCCGAGCAGCAATTTCAGCAGCTATCGCAGCACGCTGAAAGCGGCGATGTGGCGTAGCGCCGGCGCTACGGACGAACGACAGAGAATCGTCGTTCCCTTCTTCAGCTTGCTGGTCAAGGATCTCTACTTCCTGAACGAGGGATGCAGCAACAAGTGAGTAAAAGAAGCGAAAAAAAAAGAGAGACAGGGAAACAGAAAATGAACGAGGACGGGGAAACTTGCCCCCGCATTAATCATTTAAGGACACTCCGGGAAATTTCAAGTTTGATAAAAATTGAAGAGATTCAGTCCCACTTTCACGCTCTAAGTAATCACGGCTTGGGGTCTCGGTGAATTTGACGAGCGCTTTTCATTAACTTTTCAACCCCTTCGCGTTCAGTCCGTTCTAAAAACAGTGATGTCTCGGGGAAACCGGGAGATCGGCCTCTCGCTTATTAAATGAACGGCTGAGCGTTGTGAAAATGAAAAGACGAGTAGCTGATATTGAAATACAAGTGGATGATTGTCGTCGTTTGATATTAATAAGCACGTCGCTTATATTTCATTAGACGGATCGATTTTAATATGGAAACGAAGAGAGTAATTAATTTATTCCATCGTACCACGAAGCGTTTGATCGAGTAATCCCTGAATTCGTAGCGGTGTATCCAGCTCGTAATTGTATCTTCCGAAGGTATTCCGAATTCGGGACGAAGAATACTCGCAGGATTAAATATTGAGTTTCGGAAAGTGGATTAATCATACCCGCACTCAATATTTCATCCCTGAAATCCTCGCCGACGCGATCGTTCGCACGTGACTCCGCGAATCCGCGTTTCCCCGCGAGATTCCGGGGGGATCTCGGAAAACTCGCCGGAATAATTATAAAGTAATCTAAGTTCGCCAGAGGGAGCGAGCGATATTCCGTCGGATGCGAGTCGTTTTTTCAACGGATCTTCCGAGGCTTCGATAATTTTCTTCCTCCGGGTTGGTGTTACGCGGAAACTCGGCCCCGATCTCGGCTTCCGGCCCGTTTTGTCGGGCGTATTTATCACTGCGACGAATGTGCCGTGCCATTTCCTTCGTTTTCCCGCGCGCGGAAAGCCTCATCCCTTTCTACGTCTCTCCTCCCCGCCGATTCCACGTGTAAACTTATTAAACTTGTAATAGCAAAAGTTGTTCCTTCGTAGTTCGACTGGAACTCGAAAAGACGGGGAGACGAGCGAGAACGACGACGAAAAGGAGCGGAGACAAGGGAAAGGAATACCGAGCTGCGACATTTTTTTATTATAATTCAATTGTTTAGGAATACTGAGATTCGAAGATTTGTTTGTGATGATTTATTGGATATATGAACGAGTTCATTGTCGTTGGAATTCAGTGTTTGATTCCAAGGAAACTGGAAACCCTTAATTTCCTTTAGAAAGTGATCTCTAATTTCACATTTCTATAGATATAAATTTCTAATTTTATATTCCTCTCGATAAAAACTCCCCATTTTCTATTTCTATTAATAACAACGTCGAATTCCATATTCCTGTTAACACTAGAACTACCGTACCAGTCAAAATGACTGGTTTCGACATTTTTGTTTAGCAATTGATATCTTGGAAGCATTGAATATTCGAAATGATTTTGAAAATAAACATTTCAGTACTATAATGAATGCCTGAAGAAACTGAAAATAATCTACTCTTACAATTTTCATGAGAATTGCATACTAATCGTGTTAAATTCTCACTAGTTCTAGCTAAACATTTCAAGTTTAAGGAAATCTAAGATTTCAAAAGACATCAGTAGTTCCACAAAGGAAGTTATACAATTACAATGAAAATTTCAAATTCACCTGAGAAAAATATTCTCCCGGCAACCTTTCCCCATTACCTTCAAATTCCCGGCATCTCCAATTATCCATACCCCGGGTCTCAAACAAAGAATAACAAGGACAACGAATTAAACGGATCGCGGCGCATTCATCTCAACATCGTATCGCCGTAAATTCATTTTGACCCGGGCTTGTTTCGTCGTTATTCCGGCACGCGCGCGGGAATACGCTTTTCATTCGGCAAACTCATTACGCGTACGATTGCGCGGTGAAATGAGACCGTTTCTCGAAAAAGCTTCGGTACGTGGTCGCGATGAGTTTCGCCGTTCCGCGCGGGAGGGGGATGGAGTGCGCGGCCGGGCTGAAGGAAAAAAAATTCTATTCGAAATTGTTCCACTACTTCAGCCGGTATTTACTGGACAACTGCGTGCATAATACTCGGCCCGCGTATATAGAACGGCGCCGCAGCGCGTAACATATGTGCATTAAACTCGCAACAGCGTGTGCTATCTCCGAAATGGCGGCGGGGAACGGCAGTCCCGGGCGAAATGTACGGTTACGCCGGGTAGGGGATCGCGCGGAACAGCGCCGAAACGTTTTCCTGAATTGCTAGAACAGATCACCGTGCAGAAACGCGAATACAAATTGCTCGAAGACGTTACTCCTGATACAGACGAATGCCTGTGTATTACGGGTTTCGAGGCCGTTCGCTTCGAGCCAGATCGGGCAACGCCGCTGATTCCCACTAGAGTTTCCGGGGGCAGGAATTCTGATAATTCCAGACAGGGTTGTGTTTAACCCTTTGCACTCGAGAGACTTTGCGTTGATGTTTAACCGTTTGAATCCCACGGGTCTTTGCGAAAACACGGTCGAAAAATGCCGAACGGAGAGAATTACGTTTCTCTGTTTTTACGAAAGCGAATTTTACGTAAGGCTATTGTTACGTTTTTCTAGTCTTAGGCGAGTAATAACAAAAATATGAAAAAGATAAATAAGCTTCATCTGATTCTACGAACCGATGGACTGGCACTTTTAGACGATGCAACAGAGAAGCGCCATTGCGCCGCTTGGGACTGAAACGGTTAAATCGACGCAGTAGAATCGTAAGAGAAAAATTCGATGTTCAATTTTGAATAGCGGCAATGTATGACATTGAAATGAAATAGTTTCGTAATTTATGCAAGATTTCTCTTTTGTAAAGTATTGTTGAGTGCAAAGGGTGAATCTTATACTTGGTTTCAGTAAATTGTGAATTGAAGAGGATTGTAAAATTTTTGAAGAATATTTTGTTAGATTTTTGATATAATTATTATATTACATTTATATTTGACTGATATTTTGCTGATAGAAGAATATCGCTGTTTCGATTAGTCTCAACTTCGAAGGAAGTACGAATAGACGATTAAAGCCATGTTAAACGGCTCATTTTATACTCTTCGCATTCCAAAATACTCTAGAATTCACTGTCAAGTTGTCAGTAACATTTCCCCATTCGCTGCTTCAAAATTCCGAACCCTCAAACAATTTCCTCAGTCACAAGAGGAGTTCAACCCCCGAAAATCCGTGAACCGAAGAATACCAACAGAAGTCCAATAATTGCCAGTGAACTGCGTCGCGATTGAATCCGGTCGCAAAACGCTGTCGTTCCGAAGTCACGCGGAAGTATCAACAACCCGAGAAAATAGCATCGGTTCCCGATGGGGTCTAATAAGAAGGAACGTCTAGTTCGGGCCAATTATCCGTCCTCAGTCGGGCCGGTAGACGAAATACGTAATGGCATTTCGATCGAACCAGTCGGGATTGCAATGGCGGAGAGGAAAGATGGTTTTCTCTCGATAGATATTCGTGTCGTAGAAGGATCTTGCTACACAAAACAAATACGCTTGCGTGTAAACATCTATTAAACGCCTAGAGATCGTCTTCACGTATAATCAATCCTGAAGGACTTACTGCTCGCATCCCTGCAAAACTGAATATATTTGTAAAAAATTGAATATATTTCGAAAGTGCACGTGGCATTCAAAAGGTTCCCTGAAAAATGGTTATTACTGATAAATAGAATATTCAATTCCTCATTAGTCAATATTCACGTGAAATTTTCGAAATTTTCTCATAATATCCTCACACAATTTAATAGTTTCGTACAATATTCTTTCACAATGCAGGCAAATATTATTGCAATCTGTTATTAACCATTTACAGTTCTTTACGTTAACAATATTTTACAATAATTTACTTTCCACAATTATCTACTATCGATTTTTCCGTTGCAACTGTTTCAAACTTAACACTAGAACTACCAGAGAGAAAATGATCCATTCTTGATTGCGTCTTTAAGAATTGTTAAAAACATAACAGATAATTCTCTGAGAAATTACTACAGGAATTGATTCAAATAGACAAACTGAATTGTGAATCAATAGAAATCTCAATGGTAGCACTGTTCGAGTTTCCACAGAAGAATTTCAGAAAGTCAATTTGACTGTTACGTGGTTCTACTGTTAAAGTTTTTCGGAAGCTCCAATCGGCGATTCTGTCAGTCAACGTTAAATCGAATGTATATCTTACAAACGAAAATAATCCAATTCGCTGTCTTTTTATTTACACATCCCGGGAACGGTTCGAGCGCCGCACGTATCCGCGCGGCTCGGACCGAAGATAAATTGCTCAAGTTCGATTCGTAATTTCGTGACGCCTCCGCAGGCTCCGCGTCAATTCTCGGTTTCTATCGTTCCGTTAGATCGTCGCCGGGATATTCGTTCCGGCAGCGCGACGAACGACGACGCCCGAAATCCCGTTCCTTTCGTCCGACGTATCGGGCAACTTCGAAACGGGAGCACAGCTGCGCGAACGCCATTCGAACGCGACGAATTTTCCCGGGAACTATCGATTCTTTTTTCGTTCCCGCGGCGATGATTTGTCCGGCGCTCCTCGCGCATTTTTATTCGCGAAAGTTGTCCCCGCGACAACGGTTTTCGTTTCGAACTTGATGCCCGGCCCGCTGGTCACAGGTTTTGTTTGGAAATATGTTTTCCGCGTCCTTCGGCTTCCGATTTTTATGCTTGCAGTTTGATTTTCCGCGGAAAATTGGAATTCAACGTTTCGCTCGCTTTTGAGGTTTGATTGGAACGAAAGTAGTAAAAATATCGTCGACATTAACCCCTCGCACGGTGATTTATTCTTCAATTACGCTCGACGCAACTTCGGTGGTTATAATTTATTGAGAAAAGAGTCTGTATGTGTTTGCTATACAATATAGTAATTGATAACAGAATAATAATAATAATAATAATAATATTTAATTGAGCTCAATGGAAGTAACATTTATGTTTGTTAAATTCTATTAAAATATTCACGAGTCTCACACGTTATGGTAAATCAATATGAATAAGTAACATTCGATTAAAATATATCTATCATTCAGTGAATAATATCCATTAGAAGATTACCACGGTTTTATACGGTGAAATTCGGATTTATTTTACTGAGCTCTGAAAAACGTTTGGACAAAGGACACTTGGCAAACTGTAAAAGCCATTTCGATTTCGCGGTACGTAAACTTCGCCGCGATTCATCCGGAACACCTTATTTGTGTCCATACCTGTTCCCCGAAGGATAATTTGAAAAAGTTCCGGGATTGTTTGCACGTGAAATCACATCGCTTTCGGGGAGCACACAAAACTCGAAGGGACCACCGCGAAAGTTGCCGGGTCTTCTTCGCAAACTGACCACTTTGAACCCACTTCTTGAAATTAGAAAATGAAGAAGCGCCTGGGAGCCTCGCCGGGCGTAAACTTTCCTTTCACCGAGTGAAATATTCTGTTTCAATATTAACTCGCGGAAAGAATACACACCGCGGAAGAAAGCTGTTGCGGGAACCGGTCCGTCGGGTAATTAACGCGACCTAATTAGACGCAGGACTAAATACTCTAATTAGATCCCCGCAAAGAAAATTAATCTTCCGACTGATCCTGTTCCCTAATTCATTCGTTTCGGTCGGTTCCTCGGAAAATATGGCACGCCGCCCTAACGACCGCAATGTGTAATTTGAATTGAATATTCTGTTATTCAACATTTATGTTTGAATCTTTACGTTTAGTCGCTTAAACATATAATATGTAATACTATAATATTATACATTAAAATCTCGTTATTGCTAAATATTAAATTACAGTAATAACCCTTTTAATTCGAACGTCCCGTTAAAAGCGTTCACGGGCGAATTGAACTTTCTTTCGCAAGATTTTCAAAAAAATCAACAATTTTCGTGTATTCGAAGAGCGAAAAAGGACCGTTCGTTGAAATATTATATATTATTCTTCTTTCACTTCTCCCGCGTGACCCGCGAAGCTCGTATTAATTGGAAACCGGCACGATAGACAGCAGTTCTCATTAAATTCGAATCAATCGAAGCATACGTCAAACGGAAGATTGATTAATATGCTTTAAGCCTGAAATTTATGGTAGGAACCATTAACTTAACGTATCCGTGCGTATCCCGCGGCAGCTAATGTGATCGGGATTATCCGAAATTAATTTTACAAAATAACAAACAGCCGGTAGTCCGCGCAGTAGGTAAACAAGGGGCAACGTACACGTTAAGGGAGTCAACGATGCGATTATCGATCGGCCGTGTTCCGACCGGAACATTCTTGGCTAACAAGAAACAAGATACTAATGGAACCGTGGTTATTTTAGCCCTTTGCGGACGAAGATTCTTTGAAATATAGAAAACGTTTGAAAGATCAAGCCGAATTTCTATATCAATTGCTTAATTCATCGAAGCAAGGAAACTACGTGCTGATCTCTTGCTGTTTGACTAGTTAAATCATTTATCTGCGAATCGGTCTTCCAAATACGGACATTTGATCTCTCTAAAATGTCGACATTCGTCCGCAAAGGGTTAATCTGGCATCGAATTGATTCGTTAACACATTGCGCGCCGGCCCCGCGATAATGAGGGTTTTTAGTCTATCGTTTAATTACTAATCCTACGTTCATGTAACATTTTAGATACGTATAACACAAATCCAAAGAAAAATCGCAAGATCGAATTCTTTATTCTTGTTCGTAAGTTAGAAATTTCGGCTTGATCGATGTTTAAAAATATATCAGTATAATCACCGACGCTCGCGTTTTTATTAGTTGAAATTTAGCCGGCGTACAATGTGTTAACGAGTATTTCACACGGTAACCAACGTCGGAAAATAAATATATTAACCAACAGAAATAAATCCGCGCGTGACGTGAAATATCCTGTGAATCTCGACGTCGGGCCTGCAATTTTCAAGCTGTACCATTAAATCAAGCGGCCGGTCGGAATATTATTAGACCGACTAATAAACAATTAAACTGATATTATCAACGTCATGGTCGTCCCCAATTTCGCATCTAATTGCGATACTATTATTGCTCCGGCCGCGTAACGAATCATCCGCGCGATTGTTCCAGACTACCGAACGGCCACATCAATTTCGAGAAATTCTGGCAACTGGCGAAGCAAGTGACAGAATTCATCGCCTGGAAGCAGGTCGCGTGCCCCTTCGAGAAGAATCCGCGTGTTATTGCGTTTCTGCAGGCGAGCCCGGTGCTGACGGAGAATGGTGAGTTTTTCAGGATTTTTTAATTTATAAAAATATTTTTTTTACAATAGACAGTAATTAGAGGAAGTTGTCGAGTTAACCGATCATTAGATGAACGCCAATTCGAATATTTTTAATTTCCAATATTATGCTTCGTTGTCATCGATAGTTCTGTTCGGAAAAAGTAATCGAAATGAAATTTCAGTGGAAGAATTTTATAGTTTTCCTGAAATATGTGTTATCTAGAAGTAAGACATGTATGATTTATCGGTAATGGTCTACTTAAGAGATAAAACGTCTTTGTCCGACACAGCTCTAGCTTTGGCGTCTTTCGAGTGCGAGCCACCAGACAACAATCCAGAGAAGGAACGTTACAAAGCTTTAAAGTAAGTCAAATCAAACCAACTATTCAATCACAGTCCAAATAACTATCAACAAACGAAATTTACATTCAACCCCCAATCTCAATGATTCCCCTCTGCAACAATTTCTAATTAACCCTAATCGGACCACGATGTGACTGATTCACATTTGAACGTTTTACTTAAATCTTTTGATTATTTCATATTGCATTTCCAACAGTTTTTTTGGGCGTTTAAAATTTGGGCCCCGTAGACACAAACAATAACATTTTAATCATTCCGTTTATTCCCACAAATGACTGAGAGTCACATCGTATGATTCGTTATAAAAGCACGTGGTACGGTTAGGGTTAAATATCCTCATTCGAGCATCCCTACGATCTTCCCACTAGAAACAGCATCCCCCAAAACGACCGAAAAGAAACACACGAAAGTTCATCGCAAATCACCTCGTTCCTCGTCGAATTTCTCGTCAACAGGTCCGAGCTGAATACCCAGTGAAAAAGAGCCGCCGCGGAACGTGTCGAGCAGGAGCGATACTAGCGGGGCCCAGCACAGAGACCGACGACGCACCTTAACAAACGTTAATAAATTCACGCGCGCGAATCTCCGACAAAGGGAAGAAGAAGCGAGCCTCCAGGTGAAACTAAACTCGAGCGATAACAAGGGGCAAGACCGAGGAGGAACCCGCTGAAGAGGACGCTCGAGTAGAAGCGACGAGAAGAGATTCATATGCGCAACGATGCTCTCGCGATCGATAAGAACTAAAATCGGAGGAAGAGCACATCGTAGTGATCTCAGAACCTTTAAGGACATCGTTTAGATACCATCTGCGACCGGTGCAGCCGAGACTCCGGCTCGCGCCAGCAAACCTCTCTTCCGTTTTCATTATTTCTGCACGTGAACACCGGCGGAGCTTCCTCCTTTGCGTCTCGTTATCTTTTGCCGTATAGCAGTCTCGTTCGTACCTATCGAAACGGACAAAGCGTTCGAACAAGCCGTTCACGCGATCCCGTTAGCTATCGAGAGGTAGGAAACGGCGGAACCGGAAGCCGGCTGCACCGGTCCGAGTCCACGGATCCTCGGGATCGTTCCAGGATCCGAATCCGTTCGCAGGAGCGCGAAAGAATTCACCGGACAGTATCGCGTAGCAGTAAGTATAGTTCCTAAGCCCGAGGCAAGAGAGCGCTCGACGAAATAGGCGCTACCCGTGCCTCCACTTCCGGCCCCGGCGGCCATCTTGCGACGAGACGTAGCCGGGACCGTTTTCTTCTCGCACGACCGACCCTTTTGTACATAGTCCTTTTGATATACGCTAACGAAACTCGTGGGCGTGAACGGAGGATACAGACACGAGGGAGGAGGGATCCAGAGGAAGGGGAAATTGCTGGGTGGGGAGATGGAGGATAGGTTCGTTCCTGTAGAGTAAGCACGAAGTTGTCGTTTTAAGGTTCTAGGAGTAGCTGGCGGACGGACGACGGTCGTCGTAGCACGAGTACTTAAGGAACGTCGGGCGAGACGTTTCGACGCCATCTTTTGAGGACGCGGGGATGCACGCTCGCAAACGCACACGGCCAAGCCGTGACAGTTATTCAGGAAGCGTTTCTAATCTTTACGACAGCCGTTGCGGTTGAGTTTCCTCGGTGACGCGCGGGATCCGTTGGGTTTTGCGTTGGAGATTGGTGTTCTTTGTTCGGTTGATTACTTCCGTCTGATTATTTAGTAGCTTCTTCCGTTCTTCGTCGATTGTACTTGATAAAGGTAGTTGATCGTTGATGGCTTAGTAGAGGACAGGGATTTGATGCTACGTTTATTCGAAAGGTTCAGTAATGGGCGAGTCATATTTGGTTTATATGAAAAATAATTAAACATTTGGATTTGTTCAATTCGAAATATAGGAGAAGGGGTTAGCACCTTCGCGATCGTCCATGTATTTGTGATATATTTTGCAGCTTGCAAAGGGAATTACATTGGGTTCAGGGTTGTTTTTATTTAAAAAACGCGTGTTATAGCCTTGGGAAGTTGAGGAGAATTTTTTCTTGACTTTCATTTGCACTTTGCAATGAGGATTTGTTGCGTTTAATAAAAAATTGTTGCTACGAAGGTTACTACTTACAGAAACGCTGGTCGCGGAGGTGTTAGTCCTTTGTTCTGAACTTTCGGGCGTGGAGATTTTTCGAGTAAACTGTTCTTTTGACTTAATTGCTGATTACATGGTAGGGTTGACGACAGCAGTCGCAGACGAAATTGCCGGGCGAGCTGTTAAGCTTGCGGCCGCCACATTTTCTGGGGAAAATAAAAGGGAAAGCTAAAAATTTTAGGACTTCGTTCCTATTTCCTCGCAGCCCAGATTGTGACTGTCAAAAGACAGTATTAAAAAACTCGCCTTCCGCGCCAAAACAGAGTGCGAAGTTATCTCGCGCACTTCGCGTTTTCACGCTCCCCTTTTATCTCGAGAAACCTAACAGAATTTCCTTCGCTTGCTAACAAAGTCAGTGAAACACAGGTAGAAAATGAATCGTTTTCTCCAGTGAATTCTCGTTCGCCTTGAAACAACAGGCAATATTTATTTCCCGGAACGTCGAAACCGATCGCAACTCGCGCGTCACCGTTCAACAATATTGTTACAGTTCCATTGGACGATTATGTGAGCCGTTGTTTTCGCGTAAAACGAGGGATCCACGTAGCGGGCGATCAGTCGGGCGACGATTCGCCGACGTGCCCGGAAAATCAGACACAATAGACACGGAAAACATGAAAGAGCACGAAACAGACGATCAGAGGGAAGAGGAGGGACTTTGAGAAAACATAGGGACCAAGAGTTCGTTTTTCCTGAGTAGAAACTGCGTCTGCGGGGAGATGGAGAGGACAGAAGGGCCGCGAGATCCTCTCGCGATCCGAGAACGATATACCGAAGCAGGCTGTTGAATTTTCCGTTCGGTGATTTGTCAAATTCACGTACTGAGAGAAACCTTGCAGTCATTAGGCGTTTAAGTAGGCGTTTCCCTCCCGCGATCGCGCGCCGCGGGTTCCAAGTATTCGCAGGATAGGTTAAACAACAATTTTCCATTTCATGGGTATTCGTCTTTATCTTCGTCGCGTGACGAGCCGTTTTACAGCGAAGACTGTAACGGTTCATGGTAAAACGTACCATACGACTTTTCATCGTTATTTAATTATTTGTACAAAAGTATTAACGACGGTCTCTTGTATCGTAAGATGCGTCGAATTCGTATTTCGAAATCGTGTATTCGATCGTGTACAAAGGTTTCTTCATTCGTAAAGGATTTCTATTAAGCGTTTGAATCGAACGTCGATGGCAGCTCATCTCATCTTTGATTTTTAATGTACGTTCTCCTTTGTTTATCGCTTTTTTTCCTTCTTGTTCCTATGTTATTTATACGATTATATTTTCGGTTGTGCGATTGTTCAGCGTTGGAAATTATTTTTTTACGTTTCTATCGGCCACCTTGCGCGAGAAGCTTCGATTTTAGGTAGGTTTAGTCGCGAGGGTCTTGTAAGTTGTAGTTTCTTCGGTTTTCTTTCTCTCAGTACGAGAAGCAGAGGGAAAACGTGTATCATAAAACAACAGAGTAGCGTTGTACATACGAGGACGAACCAGAGTCTACGCGAAGATCGCGCGATAAAGAAAGTATAATTCATCGATCGAGCCGTTAAAGAAAACAGAGGACACCATTTGTACGTCGGACTCCTTTCTCCGGGCAGCTTTATCGAAGTGAACATTGCCAGCGACGCGCGCGTCGACCTGTTTCGACAGTACTATATAATTACCTGTGAATTTAATCTTGAGTGTTAAATTATTTAAGCGTAAGGGTCTCGTAAATTATTTATATTTAAATTATAACGTAGACTTACTTTCGACAGCTGTAACATATGTCATATTTACTCCACGTATGTTTTATTTAAACGTGTACTCGTTTATTTATTACTCCATTTATTTATAAACGATTCACATGATATGTATATTTCGCATTAACTCCGAGTGTAATCACCGACGCGTAATTATTGAATAATTTTTCATCAACGTTGTTAGGATAAGACGTTACATCCGTCGATCAAAAATCGCCCAACGCGGAGAAAGGTGTCTGACAACATGAAGCCAGAAAAACGTTATTGTCATTCAGGCTCGTTCACATTGCTGCGGCATTTTGCCGAAGAATTGCACTTCAAACTGAACTCGAAGCGTATCGTCCGTTCGACTCGAGATCAAATCGAAATACAACAATTCTAATTTGGGCATTACGATAAGCCTGAATAAAAGAAAGCCTCGATGACTTTCATTCTCGTATGTAAATGAAATTCTTCCATGTAAGCGATGCATATCCGAAAGCATATAGATTCTTGCACTTTCCAAATAAATAACCCATTATTTAAGCGAAATATTAAACGAAAAGAATCACGATTATAAAAATTCCAGCGCCCCCTTTCTTCAGCGCTGTATTTCTTGTAAAAGTCACGTGGTATTGTTGTATTTGAGTTGCTTTGATCTTCAATTGAACGGACAATGCGATGAACATAGACTTCGAGAGGAAATATATAACTTCTATTAAATTACATAGAAAAAAGAAAAATCGTTTAATGGTCGTATTATTTAAAACTTATCGATCTTAAAACATATACAAAATATATGTTAGCTCATTCGTTTCGTTAGGAATGCTCAAAATCCACTGGAATAAATTACAATTTCGAGACTTCGCATGAATTACGCAAACCGTCGCAGCAAAGCGGACGCGCCCCCCACGAACGAGCGTGTCGACAACTACCCGTGCACGATTATCATAACATTATACGATTAACAGTACGAAGTAAGTTGTAATAATTAATGAATGTTACCGTTGTAAGCGTCAGTCGTCAATATCCGATGAACGAGAAGCCAAGAACTCGATCACGCCACGTTCGAAGGACAGCGGTCGCGAGATCCCTGTACGAAGCCATCAAGACGCCGGAACAATGAAGTTTCCCTCTCGGAAACCCCGAGGAACGCATAATCTCGATTCCCATCCGTCGAGTGAGCGGCGCGACTGGTCGTAATATTTTCTAATCGATCGCTTTTTTCTACGATTTTTTGTAAAACCTATTGAGAAGCGGGGAAAGAGATATCTCCGACCAGCGGCAAAATCGAGCGTCGCCTTTCACACGAACGAGAGAACGAATTGATCGGAAAATCACAGAAAAGGCCAAAAAAAAGGAAAAGGAAAAAGAAAACGCGACGAAA